AAAGTTGTTAAGTCTCCTTGCAAGGCTATGGTGATATTAAAACAAAACCAAACAGCAATACCAGCAGCTGAGGAGGTGCCCCCAAGAAGAGTCAATAAACTTGGCTGAGTTCAGCATATGCAGCATCAGAAGTCAAAGGCGAAGAGAACAAGGCCAGGGGGCTCCAGAAAGCCACAGGCTTCATCGGCGATGACCCAGCTTCATCTAGAAGAATCTTCCAAGAAAATAAATAGTGGATGGAGAGAAGAACCAAGAATATGTTGGAGTGCAGTGGAAGAAACACAGGATGAAGTCAGTTCTTCCAATCTCAGGAGGGCTTGGGATGAGACTGTCTAAGCATGGCCACTCCCCAAACAAGCCTATTTACCAGACAGGAAAAAAAATGAGCTCCATTTCATCCTCCAATTACCCATACTGAGATTCCTGGAGGTTGTGGGTTTTACTGAAGAAAGAATTCAGTGATGGGCACAGAGGAAATTTAGTGAGAAAAAGTTTATTGGACCAACATTTTAAAAGTAAACTCTGAAGACACAAAGAGAATGTGCACTGGAGAACAAACTGCCTTGAGGGGTCTTTGTGGCAGAGTGAGAGCTATCAGGGTTAGACCTGTGCATCCTAACTCTTTCCCATACATGGGGCAGGAGAGGCTCTTGTGACCCTAAATCATCAAACCAGCCCTGTCACGGTATGTAGGCAATAGAGACTTTTCTCAGTCTTGATGGTAACTGCCAGGTAATCATCCCAAAGGTGCGGAGATGTCAACATGAGCACAGTAAATACTGTGCTGGGACTTTCCATTCCCCAAGGGTTATGTGCCAACAGGATGCAGCTGTGAGCTGCAGGTGTCTCTGTGGGCACGCACAGGGATTGGACCAGGATGTGGTTGAACAACAGAACCCATGCTATTGTTCTCAGTCAGATGTCCCCACCTTAACATAAGACTCCTCCACGATCTAGGTCAACTCTGCTACTCTATCCAAAGTCTCAATAAAAAGACAGACTGCAGCAAGCATTAGAGTATTTGTTTAGCATGTAAATTCCCAGGATGTATCCTCTGCATAGGATAAATCTCTGTAGCGAGAAGTGGGCTACTTTTGATTTTAAAGTGGTGTAATCATTTACTATAGGAATTTTTCTATGTTAGAGAGACAACAACAGAAGAGATCAAAGACTAAAATTTAAGGGATGTGTATAATATGTGTTTGGTCTTTCCTCCTGGATCTTAACAGAGAGCCTGTAAAGCCTATGGAATTCCCTGGATTCCAGGAGTGCCTTTGAGTCCTGAGCTATTTATACTAATGAGCAGCCAAGGTCGGGAAGGGACCTAGATGGATGGAGGGTGAGGAGTTGAACACGAGAAACACCCAATATTCCTGTCCCCATTACTCCCACCACAGGCCTCCAGAAGAGAGTGGGAAGTTGGATATTTAATTATGAAAATTCTTCAACAATACAAGTGAAAGATGTTCCAGGCTTGGGGACCACATTGAGGTCTTAAGTTGTATCAATGATAATAGGTCACAAGCAATGTCATCTCTTTAGTTCTATGTCTCATCCTCTCAAACTCTCAAGCCTGAGGAAGGTGTTAGAATACATGGACTCATAGCTAGCTGCTCAATCAGAAATACAGATGGCCTTGTCCTTTCCTCCAGCCCCTGAAATGGAGGCAATTTGTAGGATTCAACTCTAATCCTGGGGGTGGGAGTCAACTTCAGGGTTCAAGTGAAGTCAATTATTTGGTGCCCATTGGAGATGGGGAGAATTGCTTAGGGTCAATTACTTGGAATCAGAGGGAATCAGACAGATGAGTATAAATCAGAGATGGAAGGCAGTTGTCTTTTCGATGGGCAAACTAGAATCCATACAAGAACCAGGAAATGCTACCTTTGCTGTTAGACACCTACACCCGGGGCTTGCCAGCCAGGTCCTGACTGTCAGACTAGGATTTGGATACTTCCTAGCACTGAGTTTATGAAAAGCCGCTGCCAACTTTTTTGACTTTTGAGCTTCTCTTATCACAGAGGAAATTTCTAGCAATGGCAGCAATAACAAATTTGTTAAATATATGCACATATCAAATAAGAAAGCATTTGATTTTTGTTTGTTTGCTTTGGGTTTTGTTTTATTTTGTGGAGTTATTTTAGTCTTGAGACAGTGGCACTCCACATAGTCCAGAACTTTTGATCCTCCTGCCTCAGTCTCCCAAGTGCTAGAATCAGCATACCACCACATCCAGCAACTGTTTTGTTGTTGTTGTTGTTGATGATGATGATGATGATGATGATGACAATGTTGTTTATAACCACACATATTAATACTGGTAATTAGCATGGATATATAAAATACCTTGTTGAATTCAACTTCATTGAATTTTCACCACATAGTCAAAGTTAGTCCAGAGATTTCACGGAAAGATCTTAATCGTGACTTCAACACGATTAAATTAATTCTAAAGTAGCATTAACTCCAGAACACTTCATGAGCTTCTCATGTTAGCCTTTCTTAGCAAAGCAGTTGGCTTCATTAAGCCATGACTTAATCAACTTTTCTCTTTCTTCTTTTTTGTCTCTTTTGAGACAGGGTCTTGGCTGGCCTGGAACTTGCTAGAAACTTGTAGCAATCCTCCTGTCTCTGCCTCCCAGCCACAACATTATCAAGTTTTAAAGAAATGAATAGGGCCTAGGATCCTTCTTATGTGAAGAATTGTTGTCAACTCAGCTGAAACAAATTCCAAGTTCAGCCCCTAATGCTTTTCGTGAACTTAAAAGACGAATTTTGCTCAGGAGGACAACCAATCATTGTGGGTGTGAGAAGCTGATAAGCATTTCATCTTCTATAGCCTTTAGTGAACAATTCTGAATTCCACTGAAACTGTATACTGATAGCTTTGTGCTCTGATGCAAAGACTGACCTGGTAGAAACAGGCCAAATTATTTACAGCCTTATTACACAGGACTGTATACAAACAACCACACATAAACCTTTATAAACTGAGTCAAGTTTTTGGAGAGGGGAGTCCATAAAAGGACAGATGATAAGACACAAGACCTGAAGGCACTCTGCTGAGTGGGAGCACTAGTCAAATGGTTCAGGATTCTATCATGGACAACAAAGTCCTCTTCTCAAACAAACTTGTGGGTCTAAGCCATGTAGAAGGAGTTCTTGGCACTGTGTAATTCAAAACTAATTTGTTTTTATCATTTCCTCTTGCTACAGTGCCACAAAGAGCTGGTTTTCTCTTGCAGTTTCTAAAAGAAGCTGGGGAGGCTGTGGTTGTCTCCATGAACATCCAATGAATGATTCATCCTCGCTCAAGTGTAACCCATGGGAGACGTTGCCAATAACATGCTTTACTTCTTATCTTCAGCTCTCAGCAGACAACATATTTGTCTATATTTTTTACAAAGAGTCATAAATTTTTCAGTGAGTGTACAAATAATAACACTATGTAATTTCCATTTTGTCTCTTTCCTTGGGGTTTTAGGAGAGGAGAGGGAAAATGGGGTCACCTTGATTGACATCAACAGTGGGGGCTGTGATTCCTGCAGCCTGCTAGGAAGTGCAGGAATAGGGTAGAGGAAGAACCATGTGCAGTAGCTGTAAATCCTCAGATGCACTGTCAAAGCAGCAGGCATCAAGTAGCCAGAGGACTCCAGCCCCTGTGACAAGGCGAGACCAGAGGATGAAGATGGTCAGCCTCCCGCAGCCATTACACTCACGAGTGGTGTTCCAATGGCCAATGTGAAGGATACCTGGAAACTGGAATCCCTGCCTCCTCCTCGGCTCCTCTGCCAAACTATTTCACAACTGTATAAAAAAGACTGGAAAAAACGCAGGATTACATCGCAGTTTAATTAATACTTCAGGTAAATTGTCTAATATGTTATCCATGACACTGACTGGTCTGAGATATCAGGCTGATTATCCATACCAACTCCTCCAGGTACAGGGGTGATAATCACAGCCCTCTGCCCAAACCTAATTAAACATAAACTTAATTCCAATTATGGCCATCCCAAGTCCATAGAAAGATGTGTTTTGAGCTATAACTGGTATTTTGGGGACCCAGTGTAAATCTCTCCATGCATCCATCCAGAATGAAATTGGACCCCGTTATTTGTAGGGGCAGCCATTGTGAGCTAGTAAGACTCTAACCAGGGCTTTATATGGTGGATCCTTCTTTGATTCAGAGGAAGCAGTTAGAAAATACAAACACTTATTCTTCAGCCCCACCAGCCCCTGCAATAGGAACTCAAGTTCCTTCCCTACAAGGGACCCCTTTTGACCCACAGCCTGCCCCCATGGTAACCTTTTACCTAAAAGACCAGCACTCACGCAGCCATGTGAGGACAATATTGCCTGGATTCCTCTCCATTCCAAGGCTTGGAGTAGCATCATTTTTTGCTTCGCTCACCTCCCTACCCACCAGTCAACAAGCCCTCTCCCAGCATTTCGTCTGTTTCAGTATTCTCCGATGAAGAAAAGCATTCACTCGGAGACATGCTTTGAAGCAATAAACAGCTCACTTCTTTGTGGAAAAATAGGCAATTTTCGAGTAACCTTTGGAAGCATCTAAATAACCCACACATATTTATGGCTGAGTGACTCTTTGGATTGAAGAAACTTTCAGCCTGCGTTTGCAAAGACTTCCATTAACGTCTTTGAGCAGCCTCTCATCTCATTTTAAAACAAATGGCTAGCTCGCAGAAAAGAATTTGGTTTGTTTGTTTCAGGTTTTTTTTTTCCTCTCCCTCTCTCTCTCCTCCTCCTTCAGCTTGCCAGAGATTTGATGCATGCATGAATCAGGGGAAGAAGTTCAATCGGTGACTCTTCACCCACAGATCTCGAGGTCCTGGGAGGCAGAAGCTCCGTGGGGTCATAGGTCAGACTTACACTCTCATTTTGAAAGAAGCTCCATTTCGTTTGCCCACTCCTTCTTCTTTGCAGGAATAATTCTTCAAGGAACAGAGGAGGCTCCAGGTTTCCTCTCACCCAACAAAGCCTCCTAAATGCACTGTTTTTAAAAGGTTCGTTCTTGGGGGGTTGGGGGGAATGCTAGAAGCTATATTTATCTTCAGCTAATCCATTTCTCCCTCTACTCCTAGATTAAGGAATTAATAGATGTTACAGCTGCTGTCCTTAGCAATTACTGTAAATTGGTTACAGCCTTTAAAAAAATCCACTCACCGTCAATGGTAAGAGTCCAAAGTTCTATGCCAAGCACCGGGGACAGAGCCTAAGTAATAAATTAGTGTGTCATAAGACCCAGGATCTACATAGCCTAGGCACTGAGGTTTCAACCACAGAGGCAGGGGGAAGTAGTTGAGGGTGGGGATATATGTTATTTGTATGCACAAGTCCTCTTAAGGCCCGTGATGGATCCAATATCAAGGAAATTTCTTCTTTGTTGATAAAAGCTTGCATTGCTGCAGGCACTTTTAGGTCATTTCTCAGTGTGCTGGCTATTCTAACATCTGCTTCGATCTTTGCAGCAGGACACAGTAAACACTGGGTGCCAGTAGGACGTGTCTTCCCAGATTCCCTTGCCTCCTATATCTGGAAGATGACACATCGCATCCCACAGGTCACACCCATCCAGTGTCAAAATCTACCACTTGCCTTTATTTCTATTATAGTCTATATCATATCTGCCTGTATCAGTTAGGTCCTCCTAGAGGACCAGAACCAGCAGAGCATGTTATTTGTGGTATGCATAATATATCATGCTTTCTCATTCATGATAGGAGGCTAAGTAGAGCAGCAGTGGCCATGTATATACTCCAGAGGCTGAGAAACCAGCTGCTACTCCATCCCAGAAGCTAGTACACGGTCTACCAACCATGAAGTTCCCAACTAAAGGCTTAAGGATTAGATGTTTCCAGGAGACTCACTGGCAGAGAAAGCATGGGTGGAAAGCCTGAAGATTCTAGAGTTTGATACCCAAGGGAAATGGCTGTAGCAATCGAAGCTAAAGAAGGGTGTGGCTTGCTCACACTGGATGGCTTTCTCTTCTTCCACCTTATTCCATCACAGCCCAAAACTTTTTGGATGGTACCATCAACATTCAGGGTGGGTGTTTCTGCTTCAGTCCCCATCTCGCACTTCAGTTTCTATCTCTGGAAAGACCCTCGGACACACGGAGAACTAGGCATTACTAGTGCTAGGCATCTATCTCCTCAGTCCTGTCTACAATCAAAACTACCCATCACACTGCCCAATTCTTTATTTGCTACAGTATAGACCTGCAACATATCCCAAAGGCACACACAGTGAAGACCTGGTCTTCAACTCGGGATCACTAGGATATAGTAGACACTAAGAGATGGGGCCTATTGGGAGGATTTAGGTTAAGGGGAACATGGTCCTAGAATGGAATATGGGATACTAGTTTCTTTCTTTTGCTGTAAGTGAATTATCCTTGATATAAATATGAACAATGAATTAATCAGGTGACTGTATTTCTTTACCTTATGCTATTCCCTAATAACTACACAAAAAAATTTTTTTTCAAAATTCAAAACTGCACGTCAAGAGCTGAGCAGTTAGATGATCTACCTTTACTTTCTACGCTAACCTGCCTACCTCCCAGCCCCATCCCATAATACTTGCATATTATTATTGATCTGGCTCTTCGGACCCCTTCTTCATGGCTCCAATTCCTCCATCCTGCCACTTATCTGAATCTACCTCTCTCCCTCTCTTTTTCCTCTGCTTGGCAGATGTCCCACCCTCTTCTCTCCTCTGACCAGTCAATTGGATGGTCAGCATTTATTGACAAGGCAGAGAATAGATGGTAAGAATTGTTGACACAAAGTTGAGACTGTAGATTCTTGATATAATCATTACAAAGCTATGTCCAGATTGAAACAAGATAGTAAGAGCAGAGAAATCAGAATTTGAGTAACACAAGGGTAAACTTTATACTGTATACAAAAAACATAATGTCAACATCTCCCTTCAATGTCCCAGTTATTAGATGGACAATTCACTCTGCCACATCTTCCTGCCATGAGGGGTTGCCTTGGCAAAGTATCTAAGACAAAGTAGTCCAGCTGACCATAAAGTAAGCCTCCCAAAATTATGAGCCAACATAAACCTTTTTACTTCATAAGTTCATCTATCATAGGTATTTTGTTATAGTAATGTAAAGCTATCAAACTTATTACTTAACAAAACTTCAGTAGTTCTTGAGCCTCCGAGTCTATGTTGCCTCCTCTTGGAAACTGTTTCTTTGCCCTTGTTCTACCTCCATGTTTCCAGGGAACTTAAATCTGGGTTCTCAGTTTCCCTTCCCCATTCACCTTGTGAAGTTGAACCAATTGCATCTTGTTCTTTGGCCAACCTGTGAATGAATGGCCTTGATGTCTCACAGGAAAAGGATGGGGTGCCATGGTACAAAATATGGGTGTGCTCACTTGCCAGGGATTTGGGGTACAGGCAGAAGAAACATGCACCTCTGAGATATCTGCTCAGATGCTACTCTGTGTCCTAGCAGGTAGCAAAAGCTTCTCACTGGGACAATTATTTTCCCTATGGGGTCAGGTACAGAGAAACATACTGAGCAAAGGCTGAACATAGATGAGACATCTCCAGGTAGAAACCCATTTAGAGATTTATTTTCACTCAGACCAAGCAGATAAGCAACATGGAAATCACTGTTGTTCCCTGATGGGGGTCGACCAGTAACCCATGTTTTCTTTCTCTGTAGTTCACTTGAGAGTCAAACCTACCACTTAGCTGATAACAGCTCCTTGTAGCTTTAACCAAAACAGCAATAATCCTTCTGGTTTCAGCCTGCTTCTTTGACCTCTCCTTAAAATAATTGCCGAGTTGGGCTTTAAAAGTCTAGAAGAGAATCAGATAAAAAGCATCAATGGGATTAATGCAACATTCCAGCATTGCTGTAACAATAATCACCTCCCAAAGTTGAAATTCACCTCTGGTCTCCACAGATCCCAGGCCTCAGAGGCCACGGTACACTTTGCATGCCCTCTGACATAGGGTAAACACATAAAGCTCTATCAACAGTAACCCTGGTACTACTCACTTTCTATTACTCCCTGAAATGTTTCTCCTCTTCCTCTCCCGCCCTCTGTTACTCCCTTTTCAATGTTCAATACTAATCAAGGATTTTATTTATAAAACTGCTTTGCAACATCCTGGGGCTGCAAAGAGGAAAAGAGGACAGGATGTTGAACACTGAGAAAGCTGTTACAGATGTATCCACTCGTTCCTTTAAAAAAAAAAAAAGTATTTAGAGCTCTGTGGACACACAAGGAACTCGGGTGTGTGTATGTGTCTGTGTATATAGTATATGTGGGTGTGCATGTGTGTGCATATGCATGTATGAAAAAGAGAGAGAGGGAGGGGGGAAGGAGAGAGAGGGAGAGAAAGAGAGAGAGAGAGAGAGAGAGAGAGAGAGAGAGAGAGAGAGAGAGAGAGAGAGAGGCATGTTCACAGACGTGTTGCATCTTGTTTTGTTGTTGATGGTGGGCTCGTTTGATTTTTTTTGTTGGGTTGGGTTGGGTTGGGTTGGGTTGGGTTGGGTTGGGTTGGGTTGGGTTAGATTTGAGACAGAGATTCACAGTGGCTAAGAGCTCACAAAGCAATCTAGGATAGCTCACCAATGAAATTTAGCATCCTCCTCTCTTCACTACCCAGCTCTGGGCAAAAGCTTCCAGCCTTTCCCCATAGGTTCTAAGGTTCAAATTTAGGTCCTCAGACTTAGAAGAAAATTCACTGACTAAGCTATCATCCTACTCAGAATGCAGATTTTAAAGGGACTAAGAGATGTTCCAGTGTTGGCCAGTTTCACACTCACCAGCAGCAGTTGCTTTGTCTTTATGGTACCAATATTGAATGTGGCAGAGAAACGGTCACTTTACAAACCTGCCTGGCAAAGCATCACACAAAGAGCTTGCTGAATGTGTGCGCTCCAGAAGCCTACCCCACCAAGTAAGTCAGGATTGCCAGCATAGAGCCCTGAGAGGAATTTTTCACATGGTCCTCATCAACCGACTAGCTGGAAACAGAATTTGACAGAATCTCTGCTGGCTCTTCTAAGCACATCTCACTGTTGTAGAGGTGCCTACCTCAGCTGCACAGGGAAGTTGCCCAGGGAGCTTCATATACACCACAATGTTCCAACCCAGCCTAATTCAGGAAGAAGTTATGGGGGTGAGGGAGGGGGCAAGTGCTTAAGTGTGGACATGAAGCCATCTAGGAGAGGCTAAAGTCTAGACGATGACTTTCCTGAAAGATAGCCCACTGTTTTTTCTCAAGGTCTGCAGTGGGTGAGCCCAATTTCAAGAACCAAAGTAACTTATCTCAGGATTGCTTCTTGCAGCTGAAATGCCTTCCTTGTTTTTATTAAATTAATATAATAATCCCTGGCCATTAGTTCACCCTATTAATCTGATTTCCTACAGACAAACATAAACATGAAATTTCATGAATTAATGCTGTTTAGATGAATTAATGATTGCATAGAATTCCTGATTTGATTCAAATAATTTTAGGAAGAAAGTTTTAAGAGATGGCCTTAGTTGCTTTGCTAGAAAGATGTAATAAAGTTAGAACCAAGAATAGAATGTGCCCACTCCTCATATAGTAAGTAAAGGCTGCATAAAAAATACAATGAGATTTCATGATCACACTAAAAAGAGAAATTGGCTTGAGATAAATTTGTGTTCAAGGAAAAACATTTAGCTCCAAGGATAAAGCTATAGGTGTGCACTATGCTAAGGCAAGGTATGTAAAAACTGTTGCTTTGAACTTATAATGAGCTTACAGTATGAAACAGTGCTTTGAACTTTTATTGATATCCTTTTGTTACTCCCATTTTATATCGCATTTTATCTATGAGGTAATTTTTTTAAACAACCTTTTGTCTAAGAAGATATAAAAAGGCCAAAGAAAAAAAATAAAGTTGTTGGATGGTTTGGCTTGGTGGGCTTTGCCACACCCATCAATTCACCCATCTATCCATCCATCCATTCATCCAAATGTATGTGTCTATTTGTTTATAAGTAAGTATGTAGGTATATGTGTATGTATGTCAGCGTGCATGAACACTTGTGGAGTTGATGAGAGAGATGGCTGGACCCAGTCAGAATTTGTGTATATCAATGTATGTCTAAAGCTATATCCTGGGCAGGAGGGAGGGGAAAAATGGTCCTGGGTGAGAAATGGGGTAAGGGGATAACATCTGAAATGTAAATAAAATATCCAATAAAAAAAGGAAAAAAAGCTATAAAAAAACTGAAAGCAATAAATAAAAGGTGATGTAGACATTTTCTGCTTAATCCAGTGTATCTGTTTTCCCTGTGAGCAACTTCTTTCTTTTCTGGTTTACAAAGACTTAACCAGCCAAGTCAGTAAGGGGCTCCAGGCTGCTCAGCCAGAGAAGGGAGTGTGGAAATAAATCCTTTACCTACCCCTACCCCAGTGTTAGCAACATGTGTCAATAGGTCTAGAGGCCTGAAGCTTCTGACCTCAGAGTAACTTACCCAA